GGATAAACAAGACAAATTATAGAAAGGAAGTTTGTTGAGCAAACAGCAGGAGTTTTCTCAGCAAAATTCTTCTGTGGTAAACTAAGTCTGATGAAAATATTGTGACATTGACCTCAGCATATTGGCTTCTAGCCACTTACTAAAACAGTAAACGGCTTGCTCTGCATAACTACAAACATGTTTGGTGAAGAAATCAGAATGGATCACAATTTAACTGTTTCAGATTTTGAGAGAGAGAAAAATCAACCCCTACTGATATAACATTAGTGAAGTCACTTCATCTGAATTGGCACAAAAAGTATTGTTGTTGAAATTATTTGGAGCAGTGAGATTAATGAATTGCAATATTAAAACAGCTGTAGTCTTGCTGATACCATTTTTCATCAAAACTGTGAAAGAAGTCTGTATTATTTTTGTTTAAAGTTTAAGCCTGGGGGATGCCTTAAATGTTCAAGGCTAGGAGCTGTTGAATCACAGAATTAGAGAAAAATATGGTTGGAAGGGACCTCAGGAGGTCATCAAGTCCAATCTCCTACTCAAGGCAGGATTATTCCTGACTAAACCATCTCACCCAAGTGTTTGTCTAACTTGATCTTAAAGATTTCCAGTGACACAAACTTCACAGCCTAAATAATCTGCTCTCATGCTTAACTACCTTCATATTAAAAAAAATAAAGTTCTTCCTAATAGCAGTTTAGGTTTCCCTTGTTGTAATTTAAGACTTAATTATTCTGTTCTCCACAGCCATAGCACACATTCTGTCATCAGCTTTTTTGTAACCACCCTTCATGTATTTGAAGATTTAGCAAATCTCTAGTTGTCTTTTCTCCAGACTAAATAATCCCAGTCTTTCCAACACTTTCTTAGAAGTTGTATTTTCTAGACCTGTAATCCTGTCTTGTAGCTCATTACTGTACTCTTTTCAGTTTGTATATGGTAGTGTAAGAGTGGTGTTTCAACTGTTATGGTCCAGAAACTGCAAGAAGAAATAATTTCTTAGGGTGGTATCTTTCTTTTATTGGACCAATTGTATGGTTGGGTTAGGGTTAGACAAGCTTTTGAATGCAATTCATTGTTCATCAAGTCATTAATAATGATGCATTTCTTGCATTCAAAAGGTTGTCCAACTCTGTTTTAACCATACAGTTTGTGCAATTTGTTATGGTTTGCTTGAAATGCAGTACCTAAAACTGGACACAGTACTGCAGCTGAGACTTCACTAGTGGTGAAGAGAGTGGAAAAATAATTTTGACTTGCTGGCAACATTTGTTAATATAGACCAGTATGTTTTTGGCTTTATTACAACAACAACATCCTGTTATTCATATTCAGCTTGTGGTCCTATATAACCCCCAAGTCCTTTTCTGCAGTCTAGCCAGTCATTTCCAGATTTGCATGTGTTCAGGTGTTGTTCTGTCCTAAGTGCAAGGCTTTGTCCTTATTCTATTTCATTCAATTAATTTGGGACCATTTTTCCAGTTTAGTGAGGTCACTTTGAATTCTAACCCTAATCTCCAAAGCATCAGAGGCCTTTATTCAGTTCCAGCATCAACCTCCAGAGGTTCAGTCTTGCATCTCTTACCTCCCTGGAAGGTGTCCTCACTGTCAAGCTCTAGGCTGTTTGGGAATGGGAGCTCTCTCCATCACTCTCCTTGATGTTCTTTCAGTGTGGAGAAAATAATTGAAAATACATTGGATCCGAGAAAGAGAGGCAGGACTCTAGCTAGGTGGCTGGGACACTCTCTAGGAAGTTGGTAATTTGAATCCCTTCAGGCATAACAGGTCTAGCCATTAGGCTAGGGGCACTCCCTTCTCTTTTTCCCCAGGCAGCTTTTAAAAGATTTAAAGTGGCGATCCTTGCTGTGTTGTCAGGAACCTGGCCCTGTCCATGTATATTAGATGGGTTGTTAGGACAATATGTTGATTGCAAAATATGTTTTAAAACATGTGAGACAATTAGATACCTTGAAACAGGGCAGCATAAATCAGTAGGAGCAGCAGGTAGCACGAACTCCCAAAATCCAAGCTGCTTATTTAGGCCTCTCATTTGAAAGTTTTGGTCTGAAATAAAGTCGTCAGAATCAAATAAATGTCCTGTCAAGGTTTGTAATATAGCAGTAATAACTAATCTTTCTTTTGCCACATAATCCACAGGTAATACAGCTTGTTGATAAGTTACACTTATTGAGAGAGGAGTATTTAAAACTAAAGTAAGTTATGCACACACTTTGTTACAGCTTATTCCACAAAGAGAAATAGCAACTGTTAGTCGCATCTACACTTTATCAATCAATGTTCTTGATGCACTTCTATTGACTTCAATTCTGAGTGCTCGGAGTGGAATGTTTGCTGGTAAAGAAAATAGCATTTTCTTTACGAATGACATATCAGCCTTCCTCTGTTATGAATAGGCTAGTCTGATAACCAGTGCTTTGCAAGTTTCAGAACACACTATTTATGAAGGGAAATAAATTATTACTTAAAGGGTATTATTATGCAAGATGCATTTATGACAGAATGGGGAGTTAATAGCACAATTTAACTTAAGAACTGCTAGCTTTTTTAAGCAAAATGAAAATACAGGCTTAGACCTTGATTTCTAGATTCCTACTGCACTGGGTGATGACAGTCATTTAGTGACAATGGGATCTGACTCCCAGTTCCAGCAGATGCACCTCCAGCCAAGCCAAGCATGTATGGTACAGTTATTGGGATTGGAGATCAGATCCCAATTGCATGACTGGCAATGCAGGGAGCCCAGGGCATGGGTTTGCAAGTGCTGGTTGGAAGGAGTCAAACAACTGCCCCCACTGTGCAGCTGCAAAATCAAGGACTTCTGTGCCAGGAAGTCTAAAAATCACACATGCAATATTTAAAGGTCCCAGCATACTGGAGCCCTGGGATCTGGGAGCCTCTTCCTAATGAATAGGAAGATCTGGGATCTGGATCCTTTCTGCATGCAGTCTAAAAACTACACACACAGTTTTTAAAGGTCCCAGCCCACTTGGACCCCCTGTGATCAGGGAGCCTCTCCCCAGTCGCAGAGTCCTGGTACACTGAGATGTTTAAAACCCATGCTTGCAACCCAGCTGCTTGCGCAGGTTTTTAGACCTCCCAGCACTTTAGTCTTTCAGCACACTGGGACCTTTAAAACCTGAATGTGCACAGAACAAATTGGGTGCTGGTGTGGCTTTGAAACTTGTCATGTTGGGGAAAATCAACCTGGTATGTTGACTGTCTTGTTCTGCAGGTGGGTTGCAGGAAGCTAGCATTTTGAAGTGCTTTGCCCTGCAATCCCTACAGTCCCAGTGCCAACCCAGGTCCTGATGCCAGTGCTGGCCGTCAGCATTAGTATGGGGGCATGTTACATGTTCAATTTATGCTGCCATAAAAACCAGCCACAAAGATATTCCATATTTTCTATGGAATATCTTTGTGGCTGTTTTGCTACTTTGTGGCACCCTGAATGTGTATCACTGTTACTATTTTTAGTGCAATTAACATATGCCAGGGGCCCTTGAAACATCAGAAGTTGTTTGCAGTCAATTTTTATTTTGTAATGCAGAATTCTACATAATGCTTTATAGAAAAAATACATCTATCTTTCTCATCCTACTTTTATAATTCGAAACTTGATCGGAGCTAATGAATACTCAGACCTGTCATTTAGGTGTCTAAAATTAAGATCCTAAATTTGTATTTAAACTCCTTTAAAAGAAGTCTTCACCATTCCTGCTTTCTTCAGCCTAACCTTTTTTTCTACTCCTTAACTGTTCCATAGTGTGCTGCATTGCATGCTAGTTGGTCACAGCTCTTTAGTTGTGCTCAAGTGGCAATGTTTTAGTGTGGTTAAGAGTTTATAAAGCAGTCTGAAGGTTATTATAGGCCAATAGGGAGGAAAAGAATTTCATTTGAGAATTTTCCTTGACATCTAGCTCCTAATCTTACTGTAAAGGCATAGAGGTACTTGTTATAAAAACCATGTTACAATACAACCTGTTATATAACATGTTCCTGCTGAACAAATTGCATAGGAGGGCTCTTCCCTTCATCTTATTTTAGTAGGAAGATATTATTTAAAAGTAAATAAATAAACAAAGCCCTTCACCCTACACGATGTAAAAAAATAACGTTGTACCTTTCTTTCTATTCTTCTAAATATGTTGCTTTCTTTTCCTCCCTAGTAGCTCACAATGTTATCATAATGAGAGACAGTGTGTGTGTATCTGTATTCCTTGCAATGTCAATACTGCAGGATTTTACATATGCAGCTGCTTAATACATTAACTATCATTTCTTGCTGCCTGGGGTTACAGGTTGTAAGACAGGCCAAGAGCAGTATGTTAAAATCTACAAGTCTGAAGTTCTGTAGAAATCAATAGAATGCAAGAGACATTTGGAATCTGGTCAAGAACATCCTGGGGTGGGCAGAATGAGTGCAACCTGCCATAGATAAGATAAGCATATAGTACGTAGTACAACCAAAACCTGGTATGTGCCTGGAAAGATATGTAGGAATCTTGTCATTGAATAAGTTCATTGATCAGCGAATTGCAAGGTAGGTGGCACAAAACTTGATTGATCATCTCTGGATAATGATGTGGGCTTGATGCAAGTGCTTCTAATGTATAAAAAGAGCAGAATAGAAATGCACTTTGGATTTGTGTTTAACCCTGTATTATCCCTGCTGTCAGCCAATCTGATCAGCTGGCTGATGGTCTGAAGAAAAGCTACACGAAGTTTATATTCGCTGAATAGCTGTGTTGTGTGCTTATTTGAACCGTGTTACAATAGGACCTAATAGGCCTTTGGAGACAACAACAGGGATTACACTGCTGAACAAAGTTATTACAAATGTTTTTGTGTAGAAAATATATTAACTTGCCCTTTTTCACTTTTATACTAAGCAATTCCTTTTTTTACCTTCCCTGCAAAGCTGATATTATACCTGTTGACCTTCCAACCTTGTCTTTCCTAAAATATTTTTTATTTGATTTCAGGTCACCATTGGTCAAATGTATTCCACACAGAAGCTTGTTATCGAAAATCCAGAAAATACATAGCTAGAAGATGAATCCAATTTTTGAAGCAACAGTGGACCATCCTCAGCATTCTGCATTGCTGCACACAGATATTTATGTTCGCTGCACAAGTATGAGAGTTCATTTTTTATTAAAAGAAGAAATGTAGGAGAGGCTCAGTTCTGACAACCAAAGCAATATGGAATGTTTCCATGATTCATACTCTAAGACGTACGGCTACGGCTACCACAGTATGTAATGTACCCAATGCCCATGTTTGCTTGTGTGTCATATGTAATGAACATGTTCATTGTTCTTATTTAACAATAAAATTTCATGAGCTGAATATCTGGAATCGAAGACATTCTTCTTCAGATGATCTTACTTCCCTACCAGTGGCTCAAAGGATATGGTTATGCATCAGCCTGTGGTGCAGTTAGTAAGTGATTTCTTAACTATTAATCTGAAAATTCAGAAAGTTGGAAGCCAGCTAGTTTCATCCAGCTTAGTTAACAGCTTGTTAATAAAATGTTAGGCTTACATTACTGAGACTGCTGAACAGTTAGAATACACTTGTACTATTGTACCTTTTTCCAGATGTCTGAAACTGCAACTTGTCAGCAGAAAGAAACAAAACACATTTCAGTGTCAAGTACTGTCCATTTTCTTGCAAAGTAAAGGTAATTCCATGCAAATAGATGACGCTGTTAAATTTAATTCAGAACTCACAGAAATATTTTCTCTTCTGTGAGAAGCTTGTAAATGTCCATAACCTGTCTCAGCATATCCATACCATGCTCTGGATGAAACCAGCTGGAAGTTCAATCTTCGTGATCATCCAGTACTGGATCTCCACACCAATATGGCTAAATCAGTTGTTAAATGCATTCTGTTCATTTGCAGCAATGAGGATTTGCACAAAAAGGATCACTAACAGAACACCCATTTGTTAAACTTTAAAACAAGTAAACAAAAAGATGATTTCCAAATATCTGCAGACATTACTCATTTGGTAATCTAGGCTGAAGAGGTGAGTGTATTAGGAGCTTTTCTGAAGCCAGCACTTAGCAGAGTTTCTTGTAGAGTTCCTGGGCTGTCCAAGGAAGGAATTCCCTTAATTATCTGACAAATCAGTAGTCTGAAAATACTTTATGTAACAGAAGTGAAAGGGTACATAGAGGCAGATGGAAAAAATAAACCGCATTTTAAGATTAGCAGCACTAAACAAAATTAAAACACCTCTTAAAAAGTCAAGTTTAATTCAAAATAGTGCTTGTGTTCATTTATGTTTTCTGTTATAGAAAGTACAGAAATATCATTCAGTACAGATCTACAGAAAATGTTACAACAAAAGCTTTCAAGGAAGACACTTTAAAATAAGGACAGTCTAGTAACATCTTTAAGATAGACCTTAAAATGAAACTACATTTTGGAAAGTAAAAGGATAATCTCTACTTCTGACTGATTCTCCAAAATAGAACTAATGAATGGTGTCTAATTTAGAGGTGCTAATTCTTAAACCTTACTCACCCCTGAAACATTTCCTACTTACGTAAGTACCTGAAAGTTTGTAGCACAGCATCCTATTAACCATAAAAGTGTACAAAATAAGGCACAATTACTATGTTTAAGACTATAACCCTCTTCACACAAAAAGCAAATACTGTGGTATTCCTCCATTTGTTAGGTTCAGAAATACAGCAGATATGAATAAGTTTTTGCTACATCAGTAAAATGCATTGTTTTATTAAAAACTGATTTTTTTTTAACCAGGTAGAATGCCATGCACTACAGTTTTAAAAAAATAAGGCACTAAGGACTGAATCCCAAAATACACCTGAGTCAGTGTTATTAGTACATTTGGGTTGAAGATAAAAGGACCAGGAAAGTCAAATATTCAAACTTTCAATAGTAGTAAGGTTTTAATTGTGGGGGTTTTAAAATTACATTTTAGAGAAGAAAATCATGGGAGGCTATATTGTTTTGCATTGCTTGGATGTTAAAGCATACACTGGTACCTAACTTTTTTAAGTGTCTTAATTACTGGAACAAGCAGTACATACTGGGTGCGTCTACACGTTCATAAACGTGCTCCTACCACACATTAAATTTAGTATCTCTAATGTAAGGTACTAAATAAATGCACATTAGGTTACCATAATACACAGTAGCAAAAGCACACACTTTGTCACACTTAATGCACAGCAACCTATTTTTAGTGCTCATTAGCATATTGGCAAGATTTTTGACATGACACTTTAATGTATAGTAAAATAGGCTACTGCGCATGAAAACACATATGTAGATGTGCCCACTGCTTCAGAGAATGCAGCTGCAAGAATCAAGAGTGTTCCTTGGCCTGTAGTACAACATCCATTTTAGAGAGAGAGAAACAACACAGTATATCCTTAACATTTTTAGCATTTAAACTATGAAATATTTTACACATGCTCCTTTTTCCAAGTGATTCATACAGGTTTTTCAAAAAATATCCCTTTAATATGCATAATCAGTCATTCCAAAAATAATCATGGTAGTTTACTGTGAGGTATTTTAAAGCTTAGTTGCTATCAGAATTAAAGCTGCCTATAGTATGAGAGACAACATTGATATTAATGACTTAGTATTTCGGGGAGGGGGGTTGATTTTTTTTGCGGGGGGTTGTTAATCCCTCGAGTCTGAACAGAACAATTTTTCTACTGTCTGAAAATTCCCCTGATAATTTATACAACTGTCTCCCTCTAACATGATGCACTTTGTCTCTCAGTTACCCCACTGGAACTTTGCTTATTTCTCAATTGCTTGTATAGCCTGTGAAGGGGCATTTTCCAGCCTTAAGGATGCATACTGCACATAAGATATGACAAGTGGAAACTTTAACAGAGCTTAGAGCCTTTATACAAAAAAGAGATATGTAGTATAAACTATGTCAAGACGTTTCTCTCTCCTCTTATTTGAGGAATAAGTAGCATAAAACTCAGTTGTCCAAAGAGGACATACAATCTCTCTCGCTCCCAAACTTACTTTAGGCAAGAACTAGAGAGACCTCAATTCTTGAGGACTAACAGGCCTTAGGTATGAGACGTACAAAATTATGAGTGTACAAAAGAGAATGTGGAATTACTACACTTAATTAATTGCCACAAAATTACAGCATTTAAAAATGTTCCTGGAAGCTTGGACCTGTCTTTACAACAAGAACATGTTTCATATTGTGGTGCATTATATGTGCTTCATCCATTCATGTTAAAGATAATAATTTGTGCAAATTGCCACTTGTTACTGGAAAAACAGACTGCAAATTACATAATTTCTCCTTTTAATATGTTTATTACTATTACAGATACTGTTATAACATACTGGTGGGTGTGTGAGAGAGAAACAGTGTCAAACACTTTATAAAAGAAATCCTATAATGGAATAAAAACTTACTAGTGTGTGCCCTGTCTGACTTGTTAAGTTTTCCTTCCATACTCCCATTTTAGTGCATAACCAAACTGCTTATTTAACTAGTGACAGAGAATACCAAAGAAGGAAGTTATCAGATACATTTTTCACTAACTTTTCACTGAGCAATGTAAACAATACAAGTAGCCAAGCATTCAGTAAAAGGGACCCCAGTGATTCAGTGTACTGTCGCTAGCCTGACTGATAGCACAAGGGAGTGCGTTAAGAACCTTCACTAATTCTATAACTATTCCTACTTAATAATCCACTCCTTTTTGTCTTATTAGGCTGAGAAATTATTTTCTTTACACATGCACTTCCAACCATCCCTGATCTCAGCAACCTGATTTTATCAAATACAAAATCAATGTGCCTCAGTTATCATGCGCGAAAAATTTACCTGTTTATGTACATCAAAGGTCATAAGAGCTTTTTTAAAATAGCAGACAGCATTTTTAAAGACAGAACACACCCTCTTTAACTCACCCCAACGTGAAGAGCTGTTCAAAGGATAGATACTGCAACAGCCCTAATGGCATTTAATTAGAGAATCCTACCACAATTAGAAACTCAATTTTGAGAGATCTGGACATGGCAGAGGTATAAGTGAAATAAAGCAGACCAGAAGACTTGCATACAAACATTTTACCAAAGGCTCTTCTTATTTAAACTTGTCATAGTAAGAATGTTAAATTAAGTGCTCATAGTTCTTAAATACAATATAACCAGCTGTTATAATGCAAGACTAGTGCATTGTAACTCTAACTCACAGAATCTATTTTTGAGAAATATGAGACCACAACAGGTTTCCCCTATTCCCTCCTTAACACTTTCAGAATCAGCTTCCCTACCTCTTCTTCAAGACTTGTTCCTCCACAACTGTACAGAATAAAGCTGAGAGGTGGAGGCTGTGGAACAGCTGCTTTCTAAACATTCATACCTATTTGCTCTGTAGCATGAAATTCTGACCTCATTTGAGTTGACACCTTCCTTGACTTCAGTGGGGCAGGATTTCACCCTTGGGTAAAAGGTCCACCCAAGATTATCAGCTCATGGGGAAGGCAAAACCAGTTGCTTTAGCCAGCAACACACAATGAAGTGATGTAGCCAGCACCACGTTTGGCCACCTTTGACTTCCTAAACTGAATCACCAGTTCCAGTTGGGTCATCTGTCGTCTGCACAGGTCCAGAGTGAGGCTTCAGTTCATGCCTTCTGGAACCATGGCAAGACAGTTCAATTACTCTGTCATTACACTTCTACCCTGCCTGCCGAGTGAGTGTTATTGCTGCCAGAAACTGCATAAAGTAGATGTTGCTATTCTGGACAGGAGAGAAAATCAGAACTATGCTGCCTGAAGCAGAGGGACAGCCTGATCGCTATGCAAGGCACTGAACCTCAACTGTTCTTGTCAATGACAAGTGTCAATCCCTGTAGGCCATTCCACTGGAATTCCAAAATTCTTTCATTCTCACAGAAACACATTGTTTCCTTCCTCTGTACCACAGAAATAACAGACTAGGGTCACTTGTATTGAGGGTTTACATATTTATATCAAAGGGAAAATATGGGCCACAGTTCCTGAATCTGAAGATCAAAAAAGGGAAAACAAATCCACTTCTTCCAAAAATAAAACAGGTTCTACTATTTTAAAGAAAAGGTTTGGAATGCTCAACATGTAAAGTCCTTAGACCACCAGCGATAGCTCTGATGTACTTTGATTCCACGTGTAACAACATATCATCAGTATGTTGAAAAAAGTGCTCCTTCCACAATTACTCATCTATACTGTTTTTAAGCCTGCTGATTATAGCAGTTTTACGGGAGAACAGTAGTGGTTACACAATGCATTCAGATGTCTCTTTCTTACCCTGGGTATAAAGGAAACCATGGAGAGCTGA